CTTCTCCCTCAAGTGTCACCATAGCCAACGATTTTAGTGCGCAAAACACTGTCTCAGGTCCACTGAAACCTCGCTCCAAACTACACATTGGAGCCTTCAACGTAAACACCCTATGTCAAATCGGTCAACAGGCTTCCTTGGCTAGAACCCTAGAATCTCGTACCCTTGATGTATGCTGTGTCTCTGAAACACGCATACAGGATCCCAGTGTGGTCATTCACTTGACCTCACCTCGGCAAAACGGCGAGCCAACGAGATACACCCTCCGTGTATCTGGTGACCCTATGGCCAGTTCTCGTGAACTGGCAGGAGTACGGATAGCACTAAGCATGAGGGCGGAACAAGCACTGCTAGAGTGGATCCCCGTCAACAGTCGCCTATGTGCTGTTCGGCTAAACGGCTCCGTAAAATCTCGGAAGGATATAGACACACGTCGTTGCCTTTTTGTCGTTTCTGCCTACGCTCCCACTGACTGCAGCTGGGATGATGTGAAAGATGAATTTTACAGAAAACTGTCCGAACTTCTTCAGAAAGCTAAACGTTCAGACATATTACTCGTAGCAGGCGACTTTAATGCTCAGATAGGTAGCTTAAAGCAAACAGAAAGGCATTTAGGTGGATATTTTAGCATTCCGGCACAACGGACAGATAATGGTGATCGTCTGCTGCAACTGTGCTCAGACAGTCGTTTATTTTTAGTAAACACAAATTTTAAGCATAAGGAGAGACATCGCCTAACATGGCGACCCCCTACACCAAACCAACGATGGACTCAAATAGACCATATTGCCATCAGTCATCGTTGGAGAGGGTCGGTACAAGATTGTCGCTCATTCTGGAGTACCTGCTTGGATTCCGACCACGCCCTAATACGGGCACAACTCTGCTTGCGCCTCACTGAACGCAGGAAAGCCACAGTAAAAAGACCCGTTAGAACTGAATTGAGTAGCGAGAAAACCAAAAGTAGGTTCCAGAAACAGCTGAGGTCACACTTAGGTAGTTGTGGAAACGAGGCTGACCCAGATGTTGCTTGGAAAGCTATACAAACAGCTGTGGAAACAGCAGTGACATCTATCAGTGATTTAAACCACAGGGTTACAAAGAACCAATGGATTTCCTCTAGGTCTATTGCACTGATGGAATCTCGTAAACTCATCCCATCAGGCTCTGAACACGATGAAGAGCGAATACAAATCAGATCTATGTGGTGGGCAACGAAAGCAAAAGAGATGGAAAAGGCGGCGACTATAGGGAACACAAGACAGCTTTACAGACTAATTAAATAAACTGGAATTAATGAGTCAAGTGTAAGTCGGACTATTTCGGAAAAAGACGACACTTTGATCTGCTCCCAATCCAGACGTTTAGAACGATGGGCGGAACACTCCAGAGAACAGTTCAGCTAGCCTTCAGCTACTCTACAACTACCCTCCATTCCCAGACAGTGTGAATGGAACATTGAAGTAGGTCCCCCAACTCTAGTAGAAGTTCAAAAGGCTATAGTTAATCTGAAACGAGGAAGGGCAGCTGGTCCAGATGGATTGGCTCCAGAGGTCTTTAAGGATGGTGGTTCAATTTTAGCGATTGGGTTGACTAATATTTTAGCTAAGATCTGGAAGTTAGACGTTATTCCATCTAACTGGTCACAATCACTTATCGTCCCAATATATAAGAGAGGGTTAAAATCATCCTGTGGCAACCATAGAGGGATTAGTTTAACTAATATAGTATCTAAAATACTGGCCTCGATAATTATCGGACGCCTAACTAAGACTCGTGAACTGCAAACACGAGAGAACCAAGCTGGCTTTAGACCTGGTCGTGGCTGCGTCGACCACATATTCACCATTCGTCAGGTTCTAGAACATAGGCATACTTATCGGCGTCCGACAGTGGTGGTCTTTCTTGACTTAAAAGCAGCATTTGACTCGGTAGACCGCGAGATTCTGTGGCAGTGTCTGTCATTGAAAGGCGTACCTCAGAAGTACATAAACCTTGTGGAGGCTCTTTACTCGAACACTACCAGTCGAGTCAGAGCTTATGGCGAACTGTCATCTGTTTTTGCAACCTCAAGTGGTGTCCGTCAAGGCTGTCCACTTTCCCCATTTTTGTTTAACTTCATCATAGATCTACTGATGGAAATAACATTTTCGTCTACTGAGTTCTCGGGTATTGATCTCCTTCCAGGAGGTCCACTTATCGACTTAGAATACGCAGATGACATAGTCCTGTTTGGTGAAGACGCTGACAAAATGCAGAGTCTTCTGGTAGCACTGGGCAACAATGCGAGAATGTTTGGAATGCGCTTCTCTCCCTCTAAATGCAAGTTGTTGCTTCAGGATTGGTCTGCGTCAACACATAAACTAAGGATAGGGAGTGAAGTAGTCGAACGCGCTGACAACTTCACTTATCTTGGAAGTCTGATCAGCCCTAATGGGTTGGTATCGGACGAAATCTCAGCACGGATTCGAAAAGCTCGTTTGGCTTTTGCCAACTTGCGTCACCTATGGCGAAGGCGAGATATCTATCTATCAATAAAATACGAGTATACTGCACGGCAGTTCGTTCTGTTCTACTTTACGATTTCGAAACATGGCCTTTAAGAGTAGAAGACACTCGTAAGCTATTAGTATTTGACCACAGATGCCTTAGAAATATTGCTGGCATCTGCTGGGATCACCGGGTAAGTAATAGTGAGGTTAGACGCAGGGTATTAGGGAATGATGGTAAATCAGTTGATGAGGTTATGAATCTTCATCGACTGAGATGGTTGGGCCACGTATTACGTATGCCTGAACACCGATTACCACGACGTGCAATGCTATCAGGTTTTGGAAATGGTTGGAAGAAAGTTAGGGGCGGCCAAACCAAAACGTGGCATCAGTGCCTGAAGTCACTAACTTGTAGTCTGAGCCATGTTGGTAGATGCAGACTACTTGGTTGCGGTCCGCTTGACTGTCGTAACCAATGGTTGGAGACTCTTGGTGACATGGCTCAGAATCGATCACAATGGCGTCGATGTATACACTCTCTGTCTTCCCTTAAACTAAGAGGTTAAATTCGCTTCATATCTTTCTTTCTACGAACCAATTCTTTCTTCTTGTACTATATCTCTATATGCAATCTTTCTCTTACATGCTATGAATCCGGTGTTCGTCTTGTTGTGCTGATGCGGTATGGCAACCTGGACCGATGCACATATGTGCCTGGTCCTACGATGTAGCTGACTGACTGACTGACTTTCCTGAATTCATCTGCTCGATTTAAATTCATCAGCACAGTTAACGATATAAATCAAAAAAGTTGTTTTGAAATTTCTGTACCCGCATTCGTTAGTTCTTGAACAAGATGATCATAATAGAGTCACTTAGAATACAAGGTATTCGTTTCAGCTTTGATTTTGATTGATATGAAAGTTTTATTATTCAAGTTTGAGTTGTCTTGGGCAGTAATTTTGATACCAACCTGGTCATCCTCATTATGAAGCCCATTGTAAATTTATAAAACTGTTAAAAAACATTACCTTTGATTTTAGTATAACAACGGAATGTTAAGAGAGTTTTGAATACCTTTACAAAGTAAAATTGTGGTGATACGTGCAACTGACTCTAGATATCCAAAGTTTAAGTATGAATATGGAGCTACTGATTTTATACCTAGAGAGGCTTATTCACGAATATAACTTTGGAAGTTTGAACCGTGCACGCCCAAGTCTTAACAGATTATGAAGCATTCTCTGTTAGTAAGAAGTAAAAGTCAGTACTTATCGCATCTTTGAAGCCTTAATTCAGGGTACTGTTAGATTATAGGTTTATTTACTTTATATGAGGACGACGATTTGCCACCTCAACATCATACTAAATAAAACAGCCAGCAAACTAAATTGCGATTGGAACACTATAAGGTCTTTGGACGTTGGGAGAATTCATTCCTAAACATTTTAATCTGGTGAATATATCCCACAATCATCTCTGATTGGAGATATCATTGTATGAAGTATATCCTCATGCTTCACTGAAGAATTGCAAGTAGATTTATCTTTTTTATGTTATATGAATCTATTTGATCCTTCCCGGCAGTCTTGATTGATTTGTCATAGTTCAATAGTTTTAGTTTTATTTAGTTCCATTTCCTGGGAAAGCAAATTTTTTTTGGAAATAGCCAACACTTTTACAAACTGCTTGCATCCATGGTTTGTTGACATTCTCTCAGTGTTAGCTATACAATGTTACAATATATTCTATCTTACATTTCATTTTGTTCAGATATTTTGTTACAGTTTTCCTTTGTGACACTCGTAAATGTGGTAGGTAAAATAGGAAAAGTGGAAAACAGGAAGTTATTCTTTAACACGTTAGTTTGTGTATCTTCGGTGGATATTTGTTACTCAGATGTTTTATATCTTTCTTATGTAGTCTTAATTTTCAGTTCTTTTCGTTGTTAATTATTATGATATCGCTTGCCGGTTAAAAATAACTGTGAACCATAAACAGGCTATTTATTTTTTTGATAGCATAATGCCTTACTTGTATACCTACTACGAATGGTACGTTATGATCTTAGCATACTTTTATAGTCACGTCATGGAAACGTTTGTAGGTGGCGTTTAAGCCATTTGACAGTGGGTAGTTCACCATAATATCACCAACTAACTTATCGTCACTATATCTGAACACATACCCAGACCTTGCAAACACTTGCACTCTATTACTACCGAATTCGGAGGCAAGGATAACCGAACAGAAAGAGCCGCCAAACATCCTCAATCTGGTAAAGCATTTAACAGTAATCTGTTAGAGATTCATATAAAAGACCTTTTACAAGCATTTTAACGTAGCAAAGGCTCCAAAGATAGTCCAGATTAACATAAAGATCTCTGCATTTCTTTTTTACATAGAATGATTTCAGTTTATTATGTTTTGTTTTTAATAGTATACACCGGTGTTTTTGGTGTAATCATACTTCGATTTTTTGTATAATTTTTCACTACATTCATTTAGTTTATGGTTTATGGGATGCTGCAGTGTTTGGATCACCTACTGGTTATTTATACATTTCTTCCATTACGTTGTTTTCTCACTGTATTAAATTTAATGCTAAGAATATCCAGTGGAATATTTCAATTTTTCACATATTTTAATCAATACCAGTAAGTTTCTTCTATTTGGACCTGAAATACATTTATATTGAAGGTGTTTTTTTTATACATCGATGATAGATGTACATTAGTTGAAGTATTTAGTTTTACCACGAGTTTCAAGTTCACGGTTTTTAAAAAAATATATTTTTACACTACATCATCGGAGGTACGATATAAAAGTTTCATGTCGTTTTTTGTATGTATGGATTAATGTTCTAGAAACCACTAGTAATCAACGTAAATCGTAGCGCTAGTGTATATCAGTTCAAATTTCACACCTCACACCAGCTGAGAGAGAGAAAATTAATGAAATGTTCTGGCAAAAAACAAGTTTGCGCTTGTTTTGCCCGATCAACAGAACCGTGTAGTTATCCTATTTCGCTGTTTAGAACAATAAAACTTCATTTCTCGATATCTCATAGTTAATAACTTTCAGTCGTGTATGTATGAATTTAAACCGATATTAGCTTTAATAGTGTAAGCCCGTATAATCTGTATGGTATTAATATTGTAATATAAACTTCCAGTTTATCAAGCCACTGTTAATCAGAACCAATATGTATGTTATCCCTATTGATTTCTGTTATTCAAAAGTAGTGAAATATTGGCGAATGTGACGTATTTTGTGAATTTAAAGAGTCGTGTTACTGTACATAGAAACTTAAAAAAAGATACGTAAGGACTTAAAGAAAATCTTCAGAACTCTTAGTGAAATTTCATTATCAGCGTACTTATTGCGAATCTATCTAAGCTTTAAATATTCGATAGAGAAAAAAGGTAATTAAGTGGAGAAAGTTTTCTTTTTTGATGATACCATTTAATAAAGCTGTATGATTGCCTTTCTAGTAACTTGATAAATATCTGGGTTTATAGAAGGATTAAAAGCGATTACATCATAATGTTTAGAGGAAAATGATATCCTTGGAAAGATGATTCTTTTTGCTAATTTATCTTTGTTTTTTATTGAATAACAATTGATTTCTTTAAATATTCGTCAAATTTTAGTCGACATAAACAGTTGTGTTCATACGGTAATAAGTTATATAAAACAAATTCTAAAAGGGTTTTTATAAGTTTTAAGACTCCTCATGTTCGGATTGATGATGAACATGATACAATAAACAAATATACTTTTCTAAAAACTGAAGAGCATTTAATATGGGTTGTGAGTTTGACATAGTATTCTGTGTGATTAACATCTGGTTGAGTAGTTCTAGATCCTAGTATTTTTGGCTGAAGGTAATCTTATGTAGCGTTTTCAGTATCTAAGACATTTGTTACATAAAAGATAATCTATTATATTCATATACTGTTCACCTTAATAGTTTCAAATAAATTAAGCATTGGGTAGAGAGTGGATAATAAATATCTTTTTGTTATATCCCAATCAGTAGAAAATTGAGCTTGTGTTAATTCGGTTATTTATTTACTCTGAGGAGGTGGCTTACATTAGGTCACAAAACGTCAGAAATCCAATTTTCTACTGATTAGGATACAACAAGAAATATTTATTATATGCTGTTTACACACATTAGTCTCTCATTTAACTGCAAATAGGTGATATGTCAGTGTTTGTAAATCCAAATAAGATTGTAGCAGCATACGCTTACACGATTATCCTTAATTTTTCTCGGGATTTTACCATTTATGTACGACTTTGAGCATGTATGCATTATAATACGTATATGTCTATATGTTTACTCGAATCTGTAATGAATTTGGATGTTGAGTTACGTCTTAACTAGAGTAGGTCGAGAAGCCTGTCCCCATGCTGCACCTATTACTATCTGTTTATGTACATGAATGCCTCAAACAAACTCTTCCGACTCAGTATTTGGCTTTTATTACCACCATTAACCAACGGGGTTAACTTCATTATTATATAGGGAATTAAATGGAAGATTTATATTTCTTGGTTTATTCACCGCCATTCTTAATGGAGTCAAATTGCGGGCACACATAAACATTTGCACAAAGGGTCACCAAAATGTATGTAAAATTGTTATTTACCGTTTATTTTGAAGAAATGCTCATATAACTACATACATCTCACTGTGCTTTTGCTGTAAACTGATTGTTCAAACATAAAAGTACAGTAAACACGCGAACTGATATACCGTACTTGTTCGTTATTCGATGCTCATGGTGCTAAACATAAATTTATTACAGAAGAACATTGAATTACGCTTTCTATCTGGGGTTTTCATAGACGGGTTGGATAGCGTGCGACATTGGTAAATGTCTTTTGCACCAAGTAAATATGTTTGTACAAAGGCAGTCAGTATCCTCGCGTTTTTGACTTATAGTTTGATCACTACTTTTGATCACCATCCTTAAGCACCACCAAGCCTAGTTCCTTGCAATTTCTGTTTGTCCCCAAAAAGTAAATTGATACTTCCGATCAACTAACTCATTCTAAATATACTTACTCCCGTTACCCTTCGTGGAGGAGCATAAGCCGCCCGCCAGCATTCTCCATCGAACTCTGTCCTGAGCAATTCTTTCTAGTTGCTATTCATTCTTTTGATGTCTGCTCCCGATTCCCAGCGCAGTGTGTTCTTTGGCCTTCTTCTTTTCTGTTCCCCTTCAGGATTTCAAGTTAGCGCTTACCTGGTGATGCAGTTTGATGATTCCCACAACGTATGTCCTATCCACTTTCAACGTTTTTCCTCCATCTGGAAGCATTTGGCTCCTATTCCGAGCCATGTCCAGTAACGTCTCAAGCCACTGAATCACACTACCTCTGGGATCTCCCGAATTAAGGAGTCTTGATGGACCGACAGATGACAGTCCTGGACACCTTTAATCCATACCATTACACTATGCCATAAACTGGTCACCTCTTCGCTCCCTCCACTGCGTCGCAGCGTCGACAAATAGTGTCCGGCGTGGAGGTCACTAGAATAACGTTCGTAAGATATTCCCAAGTCATAAAGTCCGGTGTTCAAAGGTGGTTACACCAACTAAGTTGTCGTCACTATACCCGACAGTTCACTCCCAAACCTAAGAATTACTAACGTAGTGTTGTCACTTGATGTCGGAAATTCTTTGGATACAACGATGATCGAACATAAAGATCGCCGGGTATCTCATGTTTCATAAACATGTTGTAGGACTGTTCTCACTGACTTGTAGACCTGAATTAGTACAACCAGACTAGCGTATCTACGGCGTCAAAGATGGAAGTAACTTCGTGGTTAGGTCAATCGACTTTCAACCACTAGGTTGCAAGTTCGAATCCCGCCCCACCTATTTTAGTTTGAGCGGCCGGGTTGTATAATTATCCCTCGCATGTAAAAGGTGTCTCAAAGTAGAGAACTGGATTAAATCGTGATTGTTTGACTCTACGAAAAGATTGCACTCATCCCATAAATACATCCCAAACTGTTTTTTAAAGTAAGTTTGCTACTAATATTGTTATTTCTATTCTATCTTGCTTTCGTTTATGTAGTTTTTAAATATTATTATTTTTCCCATCTACATTAGTTGATAAATTTAAAAATATGGTAATGGTTATATATGTTGAACTTAATTTGATTATTAGCTTTGATTTGTTTTCTTTCTTTAGTGATGCACCTCCATCGAAGACTTCACGGTTAACTTTACTGTATAATTATGAATTACGTGATCTGATCAAATTTTCTTTATTGTGTATATGTACTGTTATTTTAACAAAATATGATAGTTCCATGGCTTATCATGAAATAAGAACACAATCGGTGATAAAAATTTATATTTTTTTCAATTTACTCGAGGTGAGCGTATTCTGTATATATTTTGAAATTTAATTTTAATTTCAATGTAATATTTTCATTCATGGTATTAGGAGAAGATTAAATTTTCATCGTAATTAGTGTGGCTTTTTGCGAAGCATTTGTTATGTTCTGTAGTCGTCTGACCTCGTTATTTATATTATAGTCTTCCTATGCACGAACCCAATTAATTACGTGGGTGAAAAAACCAAGTGATTAAAAAGCTTTTATTAGCTAAACCGGGTCGGAAATATATGCACAACTCATTCACAAATATAGATAAATTTCCCCCAGAAAATTAGTCCATATTTTCAACTAATAGTGCTTGTCTTTTTCTTCAGAAAGTTCTGCTGAATCTTGACAAACAGAGTCCACCCTTTAGCATATCTCACTTCTCTATCTAATTGGGTTAGTGTATCTTCGTTTCTACCTGAGAAACCAGTTGCAAATCATACATGTCAGAAATGATTATCGACTAGATGTGTACTTTTATTTTTTACTCCCCTAACCTATCGCTAACACTAATAGATTCGGATTCGAAAAGCTCGCTTGGCTTTTGCCAACTGACGTCACCTATGGCAAAGGCGAGATATCTATCTATCAATTAAATACGAGTATACTGCACGGCAGTTCGTTCTGTTCTACTTTACGGTTGCGAAACATGGCCTTTAAGAGTAGAAGACACTCGTAAGCTACTAGTATTTGACCACAGATGCCTTAGAAATATTGCTGGCGTCTGTTGGGATCACCGAGTAAGTAATAGTGAGGTTAGACGCAGGGTATTAGGGAATGATGGTAAATCAGTTGATGAGGTTATGAATCTTCATCGACTGAGATGGTTGGGCCACGTATTACGTATGCCTGAACACCGACTACCACGACGTGCAATGCTATCAGGTTTTGGAAATGGTTGGAAGAAAGTTAGGGGCGGCCAAAGCAAAACGTGGCATCAGTGCCTGAAGCCACTAACTTGTAGTCTGAGCCATGTTGGTAGATGCAGACTACTTGGTTGCGGTCCACTTGACTGTCGTAACCAATGGTTGGAGACTCTTGGTGACATGGCTCAGAATCGATCACAATGGCGTCGATGTATACACTCTCTGTCTTCCCTTAAACTAAGAGGTTAAATTCGCTTCATATCTTTCATTCTACGAACTAATTCTTTCTTCGTGTACTATATCCTTATTGCAATCTTTCTTTTATATATTACCGTCACTGAATGAATTATTTTTATGAATCCGCTGTTCATCTTGTTGTGTTAATGAGGTATGGCAACCTGGACCGATGCATATATGTGCCTGGTCCTACGTTGTAGCTGACTGACTGACTAATAGAATCGCAGGATTATCCAAATTGTGTTGGATCTGGTTAGAAGATTGTTTCAGCTGCTTCTGTACAGTTATTCACTCAACCTATCAAGTACACAAATCTATACCTTAATAAAGAAGAGTTTGATATTTTTTGGTTTGACAGAGTTCACAAAACGTTTATCCTACTTTTAAGAAGCTGATCGTGTTATAGATTTAACATTTATAATATTCAACATCACAGTCACAAAGGTTACTGACAAGCTTATTGAGACGGCTTAGGATCAGATAATGTGACATTAAAAAATCTTATAATGGTTAATTAATTAATTTAGGGAATCGTCAACATTTATACAGGCTTATTATTTTTGTAGTTATTCATATGATTTCATCTTGTTTCAGGTCGCAGATCGTTTATTATCTGCTGTTTGTCAAGATGCCTTGGATGATTTACTGTTTACGATCAGTAAACCACGATCTGATTCAGTTTTATCTAATGACCTAGAGGAAAATAGTTTCATTTTCTGGCGTGATATTGTTTTACAGTACTGCTTTGCTTTCTTTTGTCTCAGTAAGTCAGTGCAAATGCTTATTATATGTATTTAATTTTTACCGTATGGTTTTCAGTACATGCTCTTGGTGTATGTCTTAAAATAGTGAATTAAATGAACCACTGAAAAGAGAATAAGACATGTACAGTGTGAATCAGATGATGGCATTTCGAATATGTTCGTTGTAAGTAAAAGTAACTTTATGACAAGTCGATCAAATTGTTTTGTTATAAATAGACTCTAGTAGGACGAGATACACTCACCAATTGTTTCTCTCCCGATATATTTGACTTTTACAGATCAAGAGACCTTTCACTAATATGCTGGAGCTTGTGAATTGTGTTAGGACAGGATTAATGTTAAATAATCGATTTCCCTCTTCACTTAAGAAAATCACAAATTAAGAGATTGCAACCATGTAGTCTTTAACTAGTTAATGTTATTCTGTGATAATAATCATTTACAGTACGTTGCACTGAACAGTCTTCAGTCCTTTTCGACTTTTTTACGTCACTTTAACTGTGGTAATTAGATTGTCCGACTTCCTGATGTAATGAAATTTTTTTCATTTAGAAACTGTCTACAACGAGTAGTTGGTCCAGTAGTAATTAGCGGGATATGTAACAATCAGTAGTTGTACAGCGTCATTTATGGCATAGGCGAGATATCCGTCTATCAACCAAAGGACGTGTCTACTGCGCAGCAGTTCATTCCATCCTACTTTACGGCAGCGAAACATGGCCTGTATGAGTAGAGGATATTCGTAGGTTACTAGTATTTGATCATAGGTGTCTTCGAAACATTGCTCGTATATCCTGGGACCATCGAGTAAGCAACGCAGTTGTTAGGAAATGGGTACTAGGTAAGGATGGCAAATCAATTGATGAAGTAGTGAAACTTCATTAGTTCAGATGGCTGGGACACGTGTTACGTATGCTCAACCACCGACTGCCTCGATGTGCGATGCTTTATGGTATAGGAGTAGGTTGGAAGAAAGCTAGGGGTGGCTATGCCAAAACACGGCACAAGTCCATGAAGTCACTGACAAGTGGAGTGAGTCATGTTGGTAGGTGTAGACTACCTGGTTGGGGACCACGACATGATAGGAACCGATGGTTAGAGACCTTGAATGACATGGCTCAAAATCGTTTGCAATGGCGCAGGTGCATCCACTCTTTGTGTTCTCCCAAATTCCAATCCTCTGAATTCTTCATGTCCCTTTTTTTCCTCTTTCCAAATTTATTTCACTGGATTATACTCCTGCAATAACATTTTCAAACCCTAATCTTTCGGATTACTGCTTATACTTGTACTACTTCTATCACTACGGAGTTGGGATCGACAACTGCATCTCTGTGCTAATGTAGTGTGGCAACTCGAACTAATGTACGTACGTACGAAGTTCTACATTGTTACTGACTGACTGACTGACTGATAGCGTAAGTAGCACTCTGGAATAAGATCAATACGTGATAGCTAGGCTACACTAATAAACGGTAACTACAGGCAGTAGTAGTAGCACTCGGAAGTCAAACCATGACAGGTAATCTCGCTGTCTGAATTTATTTATTTATTTATTTGGACACATGAATATTGGTACAAGAGAGCGCCAATATACATGCGCCACACAAAACAATGAAAATTCGAGAGGAATACAAAGAAAGAAAAAAAAAGCTAAGGAGCGCAACAACAAAAAAAGAGAGAACAATAACGAAGAGATTGGTGTAAGGTAATGTGCTAGTAATCAGGGAACGCAAAGGTACAATCGGAAAAAATCTTTCAGGTAAGGGAGACAGAACCACTTTTTATGAAGAAAGTAAAAGAAGGTTACAGCAGGATCGCCACTGGCTTCTATTCTGAGCCATATCTGATAACGTCTCTAGCCACTGTGTAGCACCATCTCTCAGACCCCAACCAGGGAGTCGTGAAGGACCAACACAAGCCAGTCCTTTGCAGCTTTCTTTCATGCCACGACACCATGTCATGCACTGACCACCTCTCCGCTTCTTCCAACCAGTCCCAGAGTCGGCAAATAATGCACGACGTGGAATTCTCTGGGACGACATTCGTAGAACATGTCCAAGCCACCGAAGTCGGTGTTTCAAGATGGTGACACCAATTGAATTATCATCTCTGTGCCCGAACACACGATGCCGAACCTCTGCATTACTGACATGGTGTTGCCACTGAATGTCAGCAATCCTTCGGAGACAGCGATGATCGAACACAGAGAGTCGTCTAACGTCCTCAACTCGGAGAGGCCAGGTTTCACAAGCATAGAGCAAAACTGCTCTCACCGACGCGTTGTAGATCCGACCTTTTACGGCCAGACTAACATCACGAAGGCGCCATAGATGGCCCAGATTGGCATAAGCCGCTCTGGCTTTCACTATACGTGCATTGATCTCATCACTCACACCCCCACCAGCACTTATGCAGCTACCCAGATACACGAACTTCTCGACTACGTCTATCTGCTCACCATCCAGTGTGAGTACAGGATTGGAATCCTGCCAGTCTTGTAGGAGTACTTTGCACTTCGAAGGTGCAAAGCGCATACCATACCTACGGACACTGATTGCCAACTGATTAAGTGCGGATTGCATGCCTTGGGCATTATCGCACAGTAAGACAATATCATCCGCATACTCAAGGTCGAGAAGTCTTTCTCCAGGCAACAGATCCACACCACCATTACTTACATTCATCAGAACTGTTTCCAGAATATCATCGATGGCAAAGTTGAAGAGGAATGGTGAGATTGGGCAACCCTGCCTAACCCCACTGCTCGAATGGAACAATGGAGAAAGGTGGTTGTATGCCCTCACTCTGCCTGAGGTGTTTGTATATAGGGCTTTGCGGATGTTAATAAACTTCTCAGGCACACCCTTCTTCAATAGACAATCCCAGAGAACAGTTCTGTCCAACGAATCGAAGGCAGCCCTGATGTCAAGAAACACTACGATTGTTGGCCTTTGATAAGTATGGCGGTGTTCTAACATTTGGCGGAGGGTGAAGATATGATCAATACATCCTCGACCATAACGAAACCCAGCCTGCTCCTCGCGAGTCAATCTTTCTCGGGTTTTGAACAACCTACGAAGTATGACGGAAGCCAATAGCTTGGACGCAATCGGAAGTAGACTTATCCCCCGATAGTTGTTACAGGAACGACGTGAACCCTTTTTAAAGATAGGGACAACTATCGACTCATTCCATGACGTTGGCACACTCTCTAGTTCCCAAACCTTTGTAAACAACGTCGTCAATTCCTTAGTCAAAAAGTCACCACCATCTTTAAAAAGAGCCGGAGGTAAGTCATCTGGGCCAGGTGATTTGTAACGCTTCAAGAGTTGGAGTTCCTTGCGGACTTCCTCGTTGTTTGGTGGATCAGTCGTCACCGGCCATGGAGGGCAGGACAGTCTGACCGATGTTGCCGGAGCAGCAGGCCAGTTGAACTGCCCTTCGAAAAATTCTGCCCACCGTCCAAGACGTCGATGGATGTTAGTGATTGGCATCCCATCATCCTTGCAGATTGTTTCACACACACCAGACTTCTTGCTGCCAGTGGCTCGGATGAGTTGGAAGAGCTTCCGGTAATTACCAGATGCAGCTGCTGCTTCCAGCTCATTAGCACGCTTCGACCACCAGGCTTCTCGGTCCTTACGCAAGCTTTGCCCAATTTCCTTACATAACATCCTTCGTTTATGGTCAAACTCACGGTCACCCGGAGTAGACCGACGGGCTTCAATGAGTTGTAAGGAACCAGAAGAAACCCAGTGCTGATAAGCGAGATGTTTTGCGAAGCCACAAGCGGCTTTACCCGCCATTTTCATGGCGTCATGCAATTGCAACCAATGCTCATCTATACTTTTCGGTGGAGTGGTAGCTAGCCTAGAGGCTAGCTCGGTTCGATACTTATTTGCAACAGAAGTTGCAACCAGCTTGCTAACATCAATCTTTTGGTGGTGGTCACTTCGTTGACCACTGAAAAGTAAGACAAGATTGGCGCAGACTAAGGCATGGTCAGAGTCCAGATAGGTACTCCAAAAGGAGCGGCAGTCTTTTACACAACCACGCCAGCGGTAGCTGATCGCGATGTGATCAATCTGAGTCCAGGGTTGGGATGCAGAGGGAGGACGCCAGGTGGCACATCGGCGATGACTGTGCCGAAAGTTAGTGCTAGCCAGAAACAGGTTGTGGTCTGTGCAAAGTTGTAGTAGACGGTCCCCGTTATCTCACCTGCGACCAACAAGTCCCCATCGGCCACCTAAACGACTGTCTTCTGTGCCTAGACGCCCGACCTGAGCATTCAAGTCTCCGGCTAGTACTACAATATCTGTGGAACGCACTTTCTGGAGAAGAACAGATAACTGGTGGTATAACTCATCCTTGATTGCATCCGGGCTGCAATCTGTCGGAGCATAGGCGGAGATGACGAAAAGACATCGTTTCTCACGCCGATTTCTTCTCACTTTGATGGAACTTTCTAATCTAACAGCACATAACCGACTGTTAATGGGGATCCAATCGACTAGTGCTGCCTCAGCTCTAGCGCTTAGTGCGACACCAACGCCAGCAAGACCAGACGAAGATGCCACAGGGTCCCCGGATAAGCGCACGTAAAACAAGCTTTTTGAAGTGACAGATGTAGAGCGAATTTGTAGTACTTCGCTAGAGTCTTGAATACGGGTCTCGGATAGACAACAAACATCATTATTAAGACTTTCCAAAGACATAGCCAGCCCTATCTGTTGACCAACCTGCATAAGTGTGCGAACGTTGAAGGCAGCCAGTTTGAATGTCGCACGTGGTTTCAGAAAAACTGCTTCAGTACTCATATTCGATGGTAACATACAACTTTCAACCGGACAGTGACTCGAGAACGTTTAGTTACAGTCGGATTTCCACCAAAGACGAGCCGCTGTATAAGTATAAAAGAGGGTGAATAATGTGGAAAATAATAATGATAATAATAATAATAATAATAATAATAATAATAATAATAATAATAATAATAATAATAATAACGACAATAATAGTAATAATAATAGTATTAATAATGACAATAATAGTAATGATAATTTTTTTGAATCGACTGATTGTTTTTCGGAGCGATAAAAGTAGTTGCCAAAAACATAGAGTTCATCGTTTGTGTGTGGGCTGTGATACTGCTCGGGTGCCCAAACCGAAGCAGGTGGTTTTCTTAGGGGGCCACTCCCCGAGCCTTTGACCTAAAGGTCTAACCCACAAGGCAGTGGAGCATCGTAAGGAGATGCAATCACATGGTAGCCGGTGACCAAAGATTGGTTCATACGCCATTTGTTCCCGCAGGATACTGGAACCCATGTGCACCATTGGTTTGTGATCCGGTTAAAGCGCCGGACATTCGCTTTTCGTCTGTAACATTACACTCTTGCTCAGCCTTAGATGTGGAATATAGTGAATTGATGAGTTTGGTTCAGGTAAATGGCAGATAACGTATATGTTCTAACTATCATTGTTGAAGACCAAACCCTTAGCAGACCTGGCCGACGTAAATCACCTTATTTGCAAGAGAAATTTCGCCTCCATTTTTCCTTGTGGTTATGAGAGTAAGTTGGTATATTGGCGAAATGAAATTTCGTCAGGTTAATCCTCCATAATTTAACTGTGGTTGAATAAAATTGTGCTACATAACAGAAGTTTGGAGCAGCCCAGTTAGAAATATCATGATTATTCTTTATTAATTTTTTGTAAACCTTACTTATTCTGGCGGTGCTTATACTATTGGTGTTGTAATTTTATTGTCCGCTATCAGGTCGGATATTTGGTTTTAGGATAATAAAAACCGTTAAAGTCATACTTATGGTTTGTCTGGCGTCTTCACTTGAGGCTAGGCTTTACTCAGTCTTATGAACTCTAATCAAGTTAGTTCAGTCACAACCACCAACGTGTACTTAGTTTGTCAGTTTTTGAACGTATTACTTCAAAGTTCTGTCAAACACCACGGTTCTATTCAGTCATAGTTTATACATAGTTATGTAACTGTAACTCATCAATTCTTCTGTTCTTTTTGAAGAAAACAGTTTCGTTAACTTTATGATGTTTCCTTCTGATTGTTCCAGTTATTCGTCCCGTATTCTTTTACATTGTTTCATTGTTTTCTTACCATCGAAATTACAGTAGCCCACTGCTTCCTTCTGCTATGTCAAGTTACTACTTTAAATGTAGCATTCAATTCACAAAATAAATCATTGATCACTGTGTTTATTTCGAACAATGTGAGTTCCCAATATTATTTTGCTGTTCTATTCTATTTAGATCATAGTTAAAATGGAAGGCTTATATATATATATATATATATATATATATATATATATATATATATATATCATGTCTGTAGCTTGTTTCATTGTTTATTTAATGAGCCATTTTGGTGATGTTAGGTCACATTATTGCACTCAAGCAAATTCAATTCTTCCAAGTTTTTAGATTTGCAAAAAACAATTAACTTTAAAGTTGGAAATGCTAATTTTCTTTTTCTGTCGTTGCTCTTGCTTACATAATCTATCTCAAATAAGTGTGATACATTATAATATGAATATGTGAAAACATGCGGTTCCGGTAAATTCCGACATTTTCTCGCTATTAACTGCTTTCTAGATGAATCTCCCTGAGTTGTAGTGAACATATTTTGATTTTTATATTTCAACTTTCTCAGGAGTGAGGCTATTATCATTAATATAATTAGATAATCATTTTAAGATTGATTAAATGTGGGTTTTTATGCCAAAACTTTTGAGTGATTCTAAGGTGAATTAACTGTTTAGTGCTTCTTTTTTATAGTTCTTCAGTTTACATTGATTGGTGACAAACAGTTGTCTTCAAGCTAATTGATGCTTTTTTCAGATGAGAGGTTTGCGGAGATTGTCCATTTCAAAGTAGTATCCGTCACAGTCTAAGTTCATCTGGAGAAACAATGGAAACTAGAGAGCACTGAACAACTTTTTTTTATCGCTGTTTGAAAGTCCTCAAAAGATCGAAAACATGATATCCAGACCTCTATTGAGTACAGTACCTTTGAACCACTGAGCGAGTAACGAACGATCCACGTTTATTTTTATAGAAGAAATTATGCATAAGATACTTTCCAGAGGGATTACAATGTTGATTGACTTAGTTAAATAAAAAAGTACTGGGAAAGTTTTACTGAATTACCGGTTGTCTGTTTGTTCATTTTACTGTTGACCATACTTATTTTGTTGTGGGAAAGAGATTAGTACTAAGAGATGATTAGGTGAAAGAAGCCTTAACATATAAATCTTGACTCTCTTCAATTTTAAAGGTTTGTGGCTGTGATTGTATTTAATAACTAAATCTTGTTGGTTTTCCTTTTATTTCGCATCAACCCCCTTTATAATATATAAATTTTGATGCTTTTTATTTGAATAGTTTGTTGAATTAAAAGGTAATGTATTTCGTAAAATGGGAAAAACAAATTTATTTCAAATTGCTTGTGCTGATGTGCGTGAACGATTTCACTATTGTGTTTGGTTTTCAATTATTGTATGCCGTAATATGAATGAAAGTGGATGGAATTTAGGTAAAAAATAAACCATATGATTAGTATTATTTATGTGTTATATATTCATGAATTATGAAAAGTTATTTTTTTAAAGTTCATTTGTAAAGCAGATGATAATTGTACTTCAATTCCATGATTCAATTATTCGAACACGACAATTGGTAAATTATGTAATATATCTAGGTCTTAACTATATTATGTCACCATGGACTATTTTTATGAATTCAATACACTACATAATGTAATGTTATCAGTCTGAAGTGTAAATCGGCAAGAGAGAAGAGTGTATAATGTTTTCGATAGTGTACTAGATTTTCAGAAAATGAAATGGTTCATTCTTTTCGAGTAGCTGAGATCAATGTTTTGTCACTTAGCTTATTGCATAAACACACTAAATTCGATCGTAAAGACTTCATTTTATCGAATTTATTATACACTAAGCTTATCCCCTTTAGTGTATAACCCATTTAGGCGGTGCATTTTTCCCGTTTCTGTTGTTTAAAACATTGTTGGAAGTTCTGAGAAGTTTGAGTTTTCAGCTGCTTCCTTTTATCTAAACTCCAGACGATTCTTCTAAATTCATGTTTTCAGAATTCACATTTGGGAAAAACTAATAATTTCACATAAATCCAATGTTTTCATCGACATATATCCTGGTTTTGCGATCTCGACGGCACCCACTAAAACGTTTGACCCCTATAAATTATTTTCAGTGTTTCATATCGGAAAATAGCCTTCAACATATCATGAGTTTCTTGTTAGTTCGGTTAGTACATTTATTGACCATAGTACTAGTATGCTAACATTAAAGATCTCCGAAAACACTGATTTTTACTATACTGTTGTCTCAGCAGAAAAAAGCCTATGCATATTCACTAATTTCTATTTGTGTTCAGTTTTCACCATTGCAATTGAAAAAGAAAAACAATTTCGTGAATTAATTACATGGTGTTGTATATCAATTCTTTTATTCAGTGTCCAATTAGTTAATAATTTATTATACTAAACCTCAACATACACTCATACATAAAAAAGATACTCTTGCACATTATCTGTCAGTCAATCAGTCGGTCAGCTACAACGTAGAACCAGGCACATATATGCATCGGTCCAAGTTGACACACCTCATTAACACAACAAGATGAGTACCAAATTCGTAGAAGTATTACTTCAATGGTAGTAATATGTTTAAAAAAAGATTCCGTATAAGAATGTGTTACGGGGAAAAATAATTAGTTCGTAGAAAGAAAGATATAAAGCAATTTTAATCTCACCGTTTAAGAGAAGACAAAGGGTGTATACACCTACGCTATTATAATGGATTCTGAGACATGTCACTCAACATGTCTTCAACCATTGGTTACGATAGTCAAACGGATCCCAACAATGTAGTCTACATCTACCAACATGGCTCAGACCAATAATTAGTGATTTATGGTCTGATGCCACATTATCCTGAGATAAACAGAAAGCATAAAATGCTAGTGTTAATTATAAAATTAGTTCTCCTTATCGTTTATTATTATTATTTTTTATACAGTGATTATTTCGTTGTATGAATTACATAGTTTGATTAATGACTTTCTATTGTTTGCTGATGAGGGTATTTGTTTTGTTTGTTTTTTTCTTTCTCTTAAATAATCGATTTTATTTCAAGGGTGTTTATTAAATTAGCTATTTACATATAGTTATGATGATATTTTCAATTTATCGATTTAAATAAGTAGACAAATTTACTAATATCATGTTGTTAACGATTATAAACTGATTAGAAAAAAAAATTGATTGATGAACTCATTTAGTGATTAAATGTAGTATAAAACTATCTGAAGTAAATAAATAAATATTTCTTGGAATTGATGAATATAAATATTTTTTCTTAATAAGTTAATAATTATCATTATGTTGAATGATGTTTATTTCCTAGGGTATAGTTTCGAATTAAATTGTATCTATTTCACATAATTGCATACATATAATGCATAGAATAGTAGATTGGATAAAGATATGAATCAATGAAATAGACATTTAGCTCACAATTGTAAAGTTGTCTATTGGAATGTACTATATATTATTCAGTTTAGAAAGATCAGATTTATTGATAATTAAATAAACCTTATGTTGGGGATGTTAGATCCCCGGAACTGACTTGGTAAATGCCTTAATTTTATAATTTTATTTTGGAAATTTAAATTTCCTTGTTTTCGCGCCAAGAGTGCACTTTTTACGTTCATGTCGTACTTCCCACTTGGGAGAATTTTTAACGCTATTAGTCCGTTGTGTATTTTTAGTATGCTATTTTTGCTACGCTTCCCGAGGACAGTTTTATGCTGTATATATACGTTTGTTTTGTGTCTGTTATTATTCACTCATGCTTCTGGCTTACGGAATATACTTTCCCGTTCCAAGCTTGGACTTCTTCCTCTAGTTAGTGGGACTGGGACGCATCAAAGAGCTAGCTTATTGGTCTATGGTCACAAGTCTTTGTTCCGTTCGCATACTAAGTGAACTCGTAATAGCTTCAAAGCTAGCACCGTAATTATCAATATCATTTTAATCATGGGGCCTACTGCTATAGTAGGATTTATGGCCTCGTGTATCCTGGTTATCTAACATAAAATAAACCTTTACTTGATAGTTTCGTTTTCTGAGCTGGATTGTTCAACCGTAGAGCTTTCATTGTTTTTCTTAACGACATCATCAGCACAGAATTCAGGTAGAAGTAAGATATTCTAATTACTTCACAAGTAACTGACAGTTTGGCCTGTCGATCTTGATTGACTACTGTTGACCTTATGCCTATCGTTGTGGACATATTTACTTCGATTGTCTCCCCTTCCGACCTGATTATTGATCCTACATTTTTCTATGATCCCCGTAATTGGTTAATAAATTGGGTCGACTTTATGACTCATCAAAATCATGAAGCGATCAGCACTGGACGCCCATCCCGTCCCAGCATGGGACCCCCCAGAAATGTACATCCACGACCCCGAATACAGGGACCGAACCCAGGGCTTCCGGTCTCGCGCTCTGAATACTTACCTCTGGACCACTGAGTTGGCGTCTGACGATGTTCAACCGATCATCATACTACATAATCAGTCAGTCAGCTACAACGTAGGACCAGGCACATATGTGCATCGGTCCAGGTTGCCATACCGCATCAGCACAACAAGATGAGCACCGGATTCACAGCAGTGGTTAGGTCAAAGATGGTAATATATAAGAGAAAGATTGCATATAGAGATATAGTACAAGAAGAAAGAATTAGTTCGTAGAAAGAAAGATATGAAGTGATTTTAATCTCTTAGTTTAAGGGAAGTCAGGGAGTGTATACATCGACGCCATTGTGATCGATTCTGAGCCATGTCACCAAGAGTCTCCAACCATTGGTTACGAATGTCACGCGGACCCCAACCAAGTAGTCTGCATCTACCAACATGGCTCAGACTAGAAGTTAGTGTCTTCAAGCACTGATGCCACGTTTTGGTTTGGCCGCCCCTAATACTATATAATCATCTCCCACTGTCTTCTTTGGGTAACTTCCCCACACACGACACAAGTAAAGTCCATCAGTCACTGATTCTCATCAGTTGCTTTTCTAAAAAAAGTGATGAATATACTCAGAATTTTTTTCTAATTTAGTCAAGGTTCTTGTTGAATTCAGCTTAGATTATTGTTTCACTCACTTGTTGTACTTCACATAATCTAATTGATATATCGATGAAATATTCGTTCACGTCAACCTGGAATTTGCTTTTTTCTCTCTGTCAAATACAATTCAGTCTTGTTCTAGTGATGTGGTCTTTTGTAGTACAGACACAATTAAGCTATTATTATTATTATGTTGGACTAGTTCATATTTTCAAACTGTAGTGGATGAATTGTTTTTATTAATACACTGAGTAAGAATTTATTCTATTCCATTTTTTCTAAATAGATGATCTTCAAACAATTCTTATTGATGTAACCTATATTCTTCTAGCAGAAGTTGCTGTGGATTGGATAAAGCATTCGTTCATTACCAAATTTAATGTGATCCCTTCAAATGTGAGTTTCATTCTTTTAAATATTTTATCATAACGAAATTAGGTGAATTTTCAGATGCAATATGCTAGTTAATTAATAAAATCAGCTTAACTATACGGTATACTTAATGTAAGATAATTTTGATTTATTTTCCGATTGGTATGGTGATTATACTTATGACTTCGGAAACAAAACAGTGACATTTCTACATAGTTTGCTTTGGTTCATTTAAACTGTGTAGCCAGTTCATTTGTCCATTCTATTATAACTCAACTTCATTCGATTCGTAAAGAAATGACTTCACCTGTTCATATGATAAAGTGCAGTTAGTTAGATACCGACCATATTCTCACGATAGTTCCGAATAATATCTGTTATCTGAATTGAAACCAAAGCTAGTTTTGCAGTTGGTGCTCTTAATTGAGTCGGTAGAGAAATAAAAAGCATCTCCTAAATCCAGTTATTTAGTAACTCGGATTTTTTTCAACTCTAGTCACCCTGTACGCTAAATCCGGTTTGTCTACTGAAGGTCTCCAAAATGTGATTACATCGAACTGAGTCCGAAATGGGACCAAATGCGCATTCTGAATTCCACTCTTAGTCACCATCCATCTCAGCTTAAATTGGCACGCAATGTTGGAAAACCGTTTATTTTAACTGGGTCAAATGTTGTATTTTCATCAGCTTTCCTTAGGAAGCAAACTCCATCGATACATTTCTAGACATTCGATTTTACTCTTATGAAATTCGTCATCATACCAACTGGGAATTATATTAAGCTTTTCTTGAAACAAATTTATTAGTTATCAGTTGTTAATTGTCAATGTTATTATCGTTTTTGTGATAGGTCTATGAGGAGTATACTGTGAGCATTGCATACGACCTATTATTATGCCATCAGGGGAAGGTTAGTAACGATTTTCTTCTCATGAAACTTAAACATTTTTTAGATTGTACTGATAACATGTCTGGATATTTTGAGCTGTTTGAAAATACTGTAAACGTGTTTTTCCTCTCAATGGTAAATCATGCTCACGAAGTTTATTTGCCAAGCTGACACTTTTCAAAAATGATAGACCTATAATGCTCAACTGACTGTTTTTTTAATGACTGAATGAATATCAAAGGTATTCTTGTTATAACCAGCTAATGCTCATATGTCGTATCTGGGTTAGTTTTTAAAACTGTGACTTTCATTAATTTCTCGCCATTGGAAACCCACTATTCCAGTGGGTAACGATTTGGAATAATCGATTTAGAAGATTGTTCACGACCATTTGTATACCATGTGTTAGTAAACCACTTCATAAAAAAGTTTGAACTAACCTGTCTAGTTTACTGACGAATTGGTCAGTTTTAATATTCATAATGAAATCCACACCGGTTAAATGGTAACTAGTAAGTTAACAAGTCTATAAATCGAGTTATCCGTACTAGATAAAAAGGCCAGATTAATCCATGACACTACAATCGTTCATCGACTGTGATTGTGCATGTCTAGTCATCATCTACCTTGATGTGAATTACTGATCGGAGAAAGATAAAGCTGGGTGTCTCATGAAACATGGCAACAGTTATAAAGTCATTGAACTCTGGTTTGAGCCATGATGGTAGTTAGAAATATCCTGATTGAGGGTGGTAAAATCATCTGAATCAGTGAATAGAACGCACTGAGTGACTTTGATTGCAGCGACACAAACACATTCACTTTCTGTTTTCCCATAAATTTTGGTCTGTGGTGTGATAACTTTTGAACATTAGCGTTAAGTCTTACTATTTCAGCTTATGGATGTCGTCGATATTGTGGTGTCCGTCCAACTACCTCATATAGCAAAATTGGTCAGTTTTGCCCTAAATATCTACAACAGGAAGATGCTAACCTCCAGCTTAGTTTCTAATTCGCGTGGGAGATTAATTGGAAAACGTAAATAACGGGAGCTCTATGGTTTAAGCGTATATATATTCCAGGACTTTATTTGGCACATTCCTGAATTATGCATAGCTAGATATTCTTTATTTTATTACTGAAACGATGTTTTGATTTTTTTATATATCATCATTTATTTTTTAGAATACATCAGATTACTCTGACCTTCTCTCACGTCGTATGGGTCTTACTCCGATCCCCCTTAGTTGTTTAATTAATGCTATGCTTTTCCAAACAATAAGAAATCCCAGCACTCTTTGCCTTACTTTACCGTTTGTTGTGTCTGTGTAAGTTATTGCTTTGAAATTTTCAGGAATAGGCGTTTTTCAAATGCTAGAGAAAAAAGGTGCTTAATATTAAAGGCTATTGATGCCATTTTCTTTCTAATATTTCTTTTATGATTAGCCATATACATTTTTGTATTATTCCGTAGTGTTTACAACATATAGTTCCCTTTAGTAACTTGAAGAGAGCAAGAACAAAGATTTTAGTAAAATAACACGAATTCATTCTCGTTGATTGTTTACGACCTATAATGTCTAAAAATCAAAACTGCAAAATGAAATGAATATACATCAAAGAATTTGATTGAAAGTTATTATGGACACATATCAGCATATTACAGCAAAAATGCGAATTAATAAAATGTTACAAACGTATTTCCTATTCAGAACATTAAAAGAAGTCGAGAAAAAGGTATACAAAGAAATGGTTACACAATAAAACAAATGTTAGTGATAAATAAGAAATACTTTAATTTATCAATAAAAAGACACTGCCTTATCTTCTCTGTAGTATAAATTTCATGTTTTTGTTTAGTTGACTGTTTAGCACATGATAAATGAAAGGTATTATTTATTCCAATTTGTCTTCGAACCAATAATTGCAAGCTCTCAATCCAATGACAGACCTTTAAAATAAGTAGATATATGCTCATGCGAATAATATGTTCATGATATTTTTCGTTGTATAATGCGTTTTTTGTCGTGTTACAACTACAACTCTACGAAAGGGGCGTATAAAGTTTCTATTTGTCCACATCATAATGTTGATATATATAATCTCACTAGAAGTGTGCAAAACACGAAGCTTTTTAGAAGATAATTGGGTAACGATCCTACACAACCACTCATTTGTTAGTTTCGTTATGATACCGCTATACTGATTATGCTCAGATCACGGTAACGTTTCCGAATAACGAAACAGTCAAATTGTTAGTTATATTCATAAATTATCGTCGGTAAAAAGTGATTCCAAAAAACAAGTTTAGATTATAGTGAAGCTGAGTTCTCTGAACTGGATGGTTTAAATGAATAAACCATTCACTTCAAAAGACAACTCCACTGAATCCATCTTCCTTAACCACAAATTTTCTTCAACGTGTCAAGATAATCAGTTTCCCGACCGTTGCTGCTACCTTGACGTATTGGTTGGGCTTTCCTATCGTGACAAACTAGTCGGGCTATACTGGCTGGAATAATCGTTTCTTAAGGTCCTACCATACCAAGAGGGTCGGTTAAAGAACTGTAAGACTAAAAGCAGCAAACCCAAGGTCCGAGGGCGAAGTTGTACAGGGGTGTGACGGCAGTAAGGTATTTCTTTCAGACAACCAGCATAGCAGCGATACTGCCTTCCCACAAAAGAAGGGTGCGGTTAGAAAAAGATCGACCCTCAAAATACATACACAGCCCAATCCCATAGATTTCCTTCTCCGGTAGTAAGGTCTCAACAAGTAGGGAGCTAACACAAAAAGATCGTGTGACCGTCCTCAAGCAGTTGTCCCATGGGCATTGTGGTCACGCTCTCAGGTCACAATAAGACCAACTCTGACTCTTTGCTTCCCAAGTACCTCTAGAAGAACCGCGAAGTGATAACCGCTCTCATACTTTTAACAGCACTCAAGATTACCGCATTCAAATCCGTTTCACTGCAGTCGGACACTCCTAACACATTATTAAGCATTTCCTTCATATCAACGGAAGAAAGCGTAACTAGGGGATCCATCTCGTTTGAAGTGTGGGGGTCTGTGTAACTGTTTAGTCAACTTAACAAGTATTGGTTATCAATGATTTTAAATAGATACTTTATTTTTTTTAGACTATTTGCAGTTAAAGTTGCAACTAACCTTACCCTTATGTCCATGGCTTATTCTCATGTACGTGAGTACATTAATGCAGCAAGTACTGTTCGACAGGATGAAAATTGTTCTTTCGACAATGATAAAACTGGTGGTGTTTTCACAACTACAGTAAAAGGGAATATAAAACAGTCTCAACATATTCTTTCAGAAAAAGAAATTCCGATATCATCAAGAAAGCCTCCTTTTGGTTTCACAGGTTATGACCAACCGACTAAAGATGAAGATTGCTTTTTGCCGACGGGTCTTAGGTATCGGAAATTCAAAAGCGACTCAGGTCCCGTAGATATAACAATTAATATGGACATAAATCACTCACTAACTCCTGAAGATACATCAGAACTCGCTGGAAATAAGCTTAGAGTGTTAAGTCCGATTTCCACGGGTAGCATTTGGAATGAATTGATTGAACCATATCAATCAATTATGGCCTCTGCAACCGGAACACCGAAGAGTCTATATGAACTTAATGAATCAGCCCCATTAAGTAAGTGACTTCCCATTTGACTGCTAGTTAAGTTACATGAAAGTCGCACAACCTGCTCTTTTTCGACTAATGTGTCATCTTTCTATTTCATTTTAGCACCTCTTAGTCGAATAGGGTCAGCAAATCGGATATTCAATCCTGGGAATAATAAGTCAGAAATCGAGTGCGAACGTGGTTTCCATGGTTCATGCGTGTTCCAGACTGAAGATAAACCTCAGTTTACTGCTTACACAAATACTCCAATTGCTACATTACATAATGAGGGACTACATGTACGCAACAGGTATGAGATGACTAGTATCTTAGAATTATATAGCAATAAAGACGAATCATTTACAACAATGGTACGACCTCCTAGTGCTTGTGTTTTATTAAGACCAAGGTATTACAGTATCGATCTAGGTATTCTGAGTACTTTTTTAACTTCTATGGAACGCAATGCACGTGCTACAGATGAAACACCAATTAAAGATGGAAGTGCTCAGGAAAATGAATCAAAGCCTACCTATACTTTCAATCCTATACACAAACGCCGGGTACGTACAATGACTGAAAGTTCAGGCACTGCCCCGTCACATCCTCCAAGGGACCCTACAATACCAATTCTATGGGAACGAAGCAGTAGAAATAGTACGGCCAACCAGTTCGGTTTGGATCGACTGAAACCAATAACACCTGGACGAGTAAAGCAGCCATTGTCTGATATTGATCGTTATTCAATGGTAGAAGGACAAATTAGTTGACTCGTGTAATTTAATGACTGTACATTTCTTGTATGTATATTCTAAAATAACAAAATGCTTTAATCGCAGTCTTTTAGAAACCCTAAATCTGATGTAACAACCAATATAAAATAGTGGAACATAGTGATTACGAAAAAAAACTGGTTGGTAGTGCTAAATACATCCCATTCACTCACTCAAAAACTTGATAAAGCGAAGTTAAAGTATATTGTGTTCGATTTCACAACTTAACCAATCAAATATTCTTGACCTAAAAGCATACTTTTAGAATATACTGTTGAACAGAATGATATTTGTAATTAGAATGTGGTATAGAAGTACACATCTAAAGTTCTTAATATAAGTTAGTGTCATTTTAACCACTGAATTTACATTCATCACGGATACGTCTTCCCATTACAGTTAAACACTTCGAGGTTCAACTTTCTTGACTACTAAATACGATTTCTTCCTCTTCTTTAGTTCTCAGTTAATTTAAAGGTCGAATCCTAATCACACACTTAGAGGTACAGGACTAACATAAGAGAGGAACGAATTAATAAGGCAAAACATCTTTAACTGCAGCAAAACCGAAGAGTGTGTGAAATGAATAGGTTTGGCGGAAAATGGGATTTCAGAGCCGGGGAAATGAAAAAAAGTAATCAATGCAAGTAGATTACATTACCCACCCCCGGTCGAGAAAGGCATTTAGCAGATAAATTTAAGGTCAAGTATGAAAGGGAGTAGTTTTTTCTGTCAAATACAAAACGTTGATGATTGTTCAGAAATATAGTTGAAGATGTTCAATAGTCAGTCATATGTAGAACTACGCGATATACATGAGTTACTAACAAAAACGACACTTGTTTCACACTCCTGGACATTTGAAATGGTCACGAAAGTTTTGAATTTGTTCGGATAGTTCCCAGTTCATTAAAGTCATCAAGGAGCTCTCCAAATGGTAATTGATTTCCTGACGTTGATGTCTTTTCGTTTGTGCTTGACTATAGAAATACAAAATTTTTAAAAGGAAAATGGGATTTTTAGTAGATTCTGATAAACTAATATATTACACAACACATGATGCTTCTTTCACCATCATATTCTCTTCGCTACTTATGATATATACAGAAACTGCTGTTATATAACGGTTTAAGGGATTGCAACATTGAACTGAATGCTAAAAGTGCATGAGCCTAGTGTTTGTTTCGCTATTTGTCTCGACTAATCTTAGAGATGGAAAGATACTTCTACATCAGTGTATGTGACAGAGTAGCGTACCGGGAAGACGCTTATAATACTAAACATGTGTTTAAAATGTAGAAACAAAACCCTAACTAATAAAAACATTTTCCATATCTGATTGCATTGCTAGAAGTGGGAATAAATTACTCTAACTATTGAGCTTGTTGCATATACAGCCTTTTATTCGTAGTTCTCGACTACAAACTATGTACAGAAGTAACAACGACAGGCTGAACTTACTTTATTCTTTCGGTTCGGAAACTCTGTCTCAAAAAATACTCTGCTTTGGTTACTTTCAGAATAATTAATCAAACAGAGGAAGTTTGTTAGTGATAGAATCAATACATCCATCCATGACTTTGTAAAATACATAAAAAACTCTGAATGCATTTTTGGATCCGCTGCGTAAGGCAAAGCTGTTTGTAGATTAATCAACGTAATAATAAAACATTACCACACCAACTTTGCCATTCCTCTTTTCCAAAGGAGAACTGCGAAGAAAGTAATTCGAAAAACTCAGTCATTTTAGCTTGACGTTTCTTTATTTTAGCCTGCACTAAGTATGTACGAAAAACATGCACTTTGAGCTCATTGGCAGCAAATTGTTTATCACCCGATAACCGGTGAAATAGTGTATTTTCTAAGAAATTCCACTGATTGGTTAACTGAGATAAATTAGAATCGTAGATCGCTTCTTGAAGTTGATCGATAATATCCAGTGGCTGAAACTGGATACGCCATTATTAACCAAAGCGAATTACTTTCCCTCTATTTTTTTCTTTCGAATACTCGGTTTCGAATGCATTCAGTGTATCTTTGAAATTCTTCGACAATAAGTAGCGTCGAACAAAACGCTCACAAACACCATCTTGCATCCTTACTCTGCTAAAGGAACCAAGGTACTACATTAATGCAACTATTAACTTATTAATAAAATGAGATAAGTAGCAGATGAGAAAGTTACGAGTTACTAGTATTCCGAATATCTTTGATATCATAAGCACATTAGGACGTTTGCCTACCTTTCAATCCTAATGTGACAATATTACTCGACTTCTGATTTGTGCATATCGCTTAATGAAATGACATCAGTAAATTAGACCATTCTAAGTGTACTTTCTGAAGAATAACTGAGCGGACTGTATCCTATTATTATTATTATTATTACACTGAAGCTAGATAACGGTATTATTAATCCTAGTGCATTTTACAAGTGTTCTGCAGAAAACCAACGCGACAGCAGTTTATTGTTGCTAAAATGATTTGGAGTATGCAAATGATATTATATTGATGTGTGATACTCGAGACACAAAAATCGCAATTAATTTGGAATTGGTGTCCATAAGTATGTACTGTGTACTTTCTAAATCCAACTAACAGGAACCCATGCCTGCTCTCACTTTTGGTGGTGAGACGTTAGCAGTCGAAAAGTTTGTTTATCTAGGTAGCTGTGAGTGCTGGTGATACTGTTAGATGAAATCAATCTATGTGTAGTGGACAGAGCGGCTTTCGCCACTCGTGCTGTTAGTTTATCTACAACCCATTGGTGAGAGCAGTTCGACTCTGTTCTTGCGATATCCGACCTTTCGAACTTGAGGATGTTAGATGATTCATTGCTATTCCAGGAGGGTTGTTGATATTTAGCAACAACATCATGTTAATAATGAGGTGATTCCGAAATGCGTGTTCTGGCACACAGACGATCACCATGAGGAACCGGGTGCGGAGGCCTAGACATAAGTAGGAATGTCCTCACAGAGAATTTCACTCCGTCCGTTGCTTAACGCTACAACTGAGTGGAGACGTGGCCACTCTATAATATGGTACCATGGTATGAAAGAATGTAGAGAACTGGGGTCTATCTGTCAATCACAACTCCCTAGTCAGTGTTCCAGAGATAGTGCAACTAAGTGGCCTGAAATATCAGACTACCTAGGACAGAAGACAAGAGCGTTCTCGCTGTAGTTTTCTACTACATCCTTTGGCTGGAAGAATGCTCTCGGGACTCTCGGACTACAAGTTACACTCGTCCACTTATTCATTTTGATTACACTCGGGCTCCATGCACGTCTTCACAATACTAGTTTTCTGTGGCGCATACTTATTTTAGAGCCGTTATATCGGTATTTGTTTTAAATAGATAATTAAGATAGTAGGGTGCATATGAGCTTCATAATATAACCAAGGAAATACCATTTACATTGTAAAGATGATATTTTTCTCCTGCTCAGCGATTTAGATGATTGCAGTCTACTCCACGTTATTTAACATACAAACTAACCACTTATCATTGACCAATACCAGTTGTTACGGATTAGTCGATTAAAAGGGTATGGTGTTAGTTGAAAGCGGCATTCGAAGAAGTAACAGCTTCTATCCCATGGTCAACTTAATGTAAGCTATCCCAAGGGCCTCTAAATAACCATGAGATATGAACGATAGTAAAGCGTGAGACATATTTCTAGGACTTGATTTTCATGACCACTCATGAAGCATTGAGGCTTTAGTACCAAAACGTCAGGAATGCATGTAAATTGACCATTATAAAGACTCACATTGATAACTAAGTGAAGTAAGCTTATGATAAACACCTGTTCAAAATAACTTCGCTAGCGTGATGTTAGAACTCATACATATGGTTCCGATGACCTTGGGTCCTAATAAATTAAGAGGCTGAAATTGTTGGTCTGGAAATTGTTTTTAGTGACAGTTGGACTGGTCACGCTCACCGTCGACGGCACTCCAACAGTGGAACATTACTTCCGTAAACAAGAAATCCGAAGATTGGCAAGTAATTGTATACTAACAGTTCTGAATAGTACTGTGGGCATAAAGACCGTGTTAGCGGAGATTTTGAGCCGCTAGCTGAAAGCAAAGATTTTTCCCTATCTTGTGTTTTTAACATTTGACAAGATATAGTGCGAATGCTAAGTTGATATGCCAATTAAATCGCTTATGACGACTGAATAAGATGTGTAAAACATCCCCCTTAGTCTATGGAAGAATGAGACTTTATTTCGGAGTTCCTTATTAAGAGAGGGGAGCTTAGTGTAAGCAGGCTTAATCTTTTTGTAGCTTTTTAACACGACGTTGAGAGATGGGTTGGAAACTGGTTTCCAACCCACTCAACGACTCATGGTCGAATAAACCTAGAGCGCGACACCGTCTCTCGTGGATGTTCACTGACCAGAACTACGACCCAAGAAAATGGTGCCAGCCACGTCGATGGACACTGAATAGATAAACACAGGTCAGTTGACCTAATACTCTTATTACTTAAGGGTCCGTAAACTTGAAAACATTTTAGTCTAACTAACTGGGGAGTGCGTCTGAAACCATAGGGATACAGACATACCTTAGGACGAAAACATTCTGTCTGGCGTCGATCACTAATACTGAACCGTAACGCGATATTCAAAAGTATGCACAAATGTTTCAAATTGTTCTAGACGTAAAAGAATGGTTCAGATGGTTGTGGACGGAATAGAAGAAGCTTTCGCTTAACAGGCTTTCGTGTCTTGTAGCAGGGGATCGGGAACAACTACAGGCAGGAAACTAGGTATGTTAACGATAAAAGAGAAAAAAGAAATTGGTAAATCATAGTGTGATACTATCCTTATACGTTAAGAATAGATCATAATTATTATAGACTATTAAATTGGTTTCAGTAGATATTCAACATTATGACTCTAACTTTCGAAGACTGTTCGAAAGATTGAACCCCTTATTTAGGCAAGACATGTCTCGGTAAGCAACTTTTTCATTGGTCTGACTCT